TCGAACCTGTTACCAAGAACTCTGAAAAACCATTTTCAAAGGTCAAATGGTTGTTTATGAAAAACTCTCAGTTGATTACTTTTCCCATTCTCCTGCTGCTTCCCGACTCCTAACGGTCGCCATGGTCATCGTTGTGAAACCCTTTTCCCTTGTCGACCAAACATAATATTGTCTCTTGATGTGTTGACTTCATTTTAGAAGTTGTGTCCGGTTGGTTTGCTAGCCATGTACTAGTGTCTTAATTTTATTCATCAATCCACTCACCTCCCGTTTAATGATTATGGAACGAAAGAAATGAAGGGACATTTTCTCCCTGTGTTTGTCCTTAGGCATGATGCTATTTTATGGGTGTAATTATGTTGCCTGCTAGGAGGCAATACTTTAAAGGCTAGGTCAGGGAACGGTAAATGGCACTTATTACATGAAAGCCTGTAACATGATTGCCTGCAGTATTTCTCAGCAGGATGTGCACTACCTGTCTTTGGCTATATTAAGGTAGGTTTAAGTTAAATCTGCGTACCAATTTACCCTTTACCCTTCAAGTTTAAAGATATGGAGGATCATTTAATTGTTTTGATTATCTGTTTAGTATATCTATTACTACACCCAAGCCCTAAAGTGTAGAGCAAATTGGTAATCTGTAAACATGTCAGGATGTGCAGTGATTGCATTAAAACCAATCTCTATAAATGCATTTCTACAGCTTCTCTCCATAACTTCCATTATTAAACACCAAAAGCTAAGATCAATCAAGTTTCTTTATTTTGTTGCTAGACATTTTCCAATGGTAAATGTGGGGCCTGCAGGGATCAAAGACTTCTCAACAAGATAAATACATCTTCTGATTTCCCTTCACAAACACGCATTAATGTATGGCTGTAGGCAGCTTTAAAATATTCATGTGGATCCAAATGCTCACTGAGCTACTGCAGCACTTTTGTTATGTCTCCAACATATTGTTAAAAAATGGGAAGGTTTGCAGATTATACAGATACAAATTCATTTTACATTGATGAACAATGAATAGATCAAATGTGAGTTATGTGTCAAAACAACAATGTTGGATCAGCACTATTTCAGAGTGAAAAACAGTTGTTGTTGTTTTGTTGTTGCAGTGTTTCCCACATAATTTGATTCTATTTGTGGGGGCACCGCACCCCCCCGGCAACCTTTCGATCAGCCCACCCTCACTATCCATTAGACCACCAAAGAAAAAAAAAAAAAAGAAAACAAATAAAATATATATATTTTTTAGGGCCGGGACTTTAACGCGTTAATTAAGATTAATTAATTACACAAACATTAACGCATTTTAATCGCAATTATTTTTGCACCGCGGAACATTTCTCACTGGATGAGTTTCAGGGGTACCGATTATACTGGAGCACCAACTAACGTTCATGACTTCAGACAACAACAAACCACAGTGAACAATAGTCAAACATGAACAAAGAAGCTGATGAGACCGCTTTGGTTGGCCCCGTGGATGGGACATTTTGTTTTAAAAAACGGACGGATGGAAGCGTCGATAAGAGCACGGTTGTTTGCAAATTATGCAAAAAGGAATTCGCATATCACCGCAGCACATCAAGCCTCAAGTATCACCTCAATGCAAAACATATAGCAGCTAGCGTGGAAGCTACGTGGACGTTAGCCCGACTCGGAGTACAAGGACCCACACCCAATTCGCGTTGATCAAACAGTGGCCTATGCAACAGAGAGATTTTATTTTTCATCAGGATATTGGAAGAATAGGAGGGATTGAGGTCAATCACTGGCACTTTTTTATTTTATTTTACATGGTACAGTACACTCTATGTTGAACTGTTTATTGTTTTGGCCAAGGTTATTGAGAGAGTTGGACTGAAATGTATTAGATTTTTTAAATCAACTGTTAATCAACAAAGTCTGGACTGAAATGTATTAGATTTTTAAAATCAAATGTTGGTAAATCAAACAAAGTCCTGTTATGGCCTCTGAACAACAGAGAGATGTTTTCTAATAGTCAGGGTTTCCAATCTTCTGAATGTACTTGAAAGTATTGTGTTTTATTTAAAAAAAGAGTTATAAAAGTGTTATAGTTTACAGAAGGTCTACCTACCTATAGGCTACCTGAATCTCTGAAATGTACTATATTCCTAAATATGCTATTGCTACACTTTATGGCAAAAATTGCACTTTTCTGTTGGTCTTGGTTAAGTACATCCTTGAAAAAAATAAACAATGTTTTGTTGCTTAAGCTTATGTATTCAGTCATTATTCAATGGTATACTAAAATCCATGTGAAAAAAATTGCTTCTCACTGTTCTCAGGTCAAATATTTATATGTGATTAAAAATGCGATTAATTTCCATTAATTAATTACAAAGCCTGTAATTAATTAGATTAATTTTTTTAATCGAGTCCCGGCCCTAATTTTTTTGTTTTGTTATGAGATCAATTTGTGGCGGACGATATTTAATTGTGGCGGCCCACCACAAATAAATCAATGTATGGGAAACACTGTGTTGTGTGTTGGTGCGGTACGCACTGTCAGCAAACGATTCTCCATCGTAGATACACATCAACGATCAATCTTAGTTACATACAGCGGGGTCTAAGCTTGTATACCTTTTGGAAAATGAGTCAAACCTTTGTCTTTGTTTTGATATAATAGATGCTGACAATAACTGGCAACAGGTTTGATTGATTTGCATCTCCCACATCCACTTGTGCACTTCCTCCTCCAGTGAGCTGTTCATTCTTTGTCCTTGGACATGTGTGTGACAGCTCATTGTCTTGACAATTAATTACAAAGGAATTGTCAAAGAACACAAAGAAACCACTAAGCCAAACTTGCCTACAAGGTATACTCAAAGTAAAACTAAGAATACTTGATGGAATAACCAAACAATTTAATCGTAAAAGCGTATTTGTAAAGATATGATCATTTGTGTCCCTATTGTTGAATACAGACGTATTGTAAATTGGTGTCATTTCATGAGATTCTTAAATTGAGAAGTTGTGTGATGATTTATTTCTTAAAATAAGGAAAAAAAATCTGTTCGATGAACGGAATTTATGAAAACCAATGCTGCAGCTTGTTACTGGTTAAATCTATCTCAATATAAGATATCATTTCTTAATAAGAACAAGTAAGATATATTGTCTTAAAGTAAGAATACTTTTCTTAACCAAAACATTCTTAACAAGATTATTTATCTTTTTAGACAAAAATAAGACTTTTTCCCCCCAGAAACCAGTTTTTTTTACTTTCTTAAAATTCCTTTTTTGCAGTGTACCTGTACCTAAACATAAGGAAAATGGTAATACATGCAAGAATAATAATGTAAAAATTAAATAAAATGAAGTATGTTACTTACACCAACATCTATTAGAAAAACGATAGAGTCCATACGACAAACAGTCAGGATAATAGATCAATGAGTCATACACTACATGGCCATCATTTATTTTATTTTCATTTCATATGCAGAGAAAAATATACAGTTTAAAATTCAAGCTTCAGCAAAAAGTCTCTATGCATCGACAACAAGCCAGCTAGCATGGTAGTTCAGTCCGCGATTAGCAGAACCGGAACAAGTCATTTTATAGCTTCAGCCAGAGTCATGTGATACAAACAGCTCTGTCACCTGACCCCAACACATCCCCAACCACTTTAGAAATCCCGCTATCAGCGAATTTTGACTAGACAGCATCAGTTCATTTGACACTGACATATGTTCTTCACATTTTAAGCATTTAGCAGATACTCTGACCTAGTCCCAACCCCAGCGTGAGATAAGAAGTGTAAAAAAACGACTTCACGTTTTTGATCACAGCTCAATTGTGTGTGGATTTATAGTTGAAGGTGAAGGGAAGTTTAAAAGTGGGGCCTTTTAAGCAACAAAAGCAAAAATGTAATTCATTTTTAAGCCTTTAAGAACTGTTTCATTTCATAACTCAGGCAGCGAGCAAAATGCGGTCCACAAGTAATACATAGATACATACCAGACAGTCTCCGCACAGCAAAAAACACTAATGCAATACTGTTTTTCTCTTTTACAGCAATAATATTAATAACAACAACATCAACATTGTTTGTTTTTTCTTCCTAGATTTGGATTTTCAACAGGTTTTTAATTTGACATTCATGTGGTCTGTAAAAGGTAAACGAATGAAAGGAATATCTCCCTGCGATCAGATGCACGGAGGTAACAATACGTACCATTACGGTTGGCGAGAACAAGTTTTCATTTATACACCAAGAATGACAAGAGAAAGAGGTCAGACGTTAAATGATGATCAGAACCATATTTTATAGTTTCACATAAGTGTAATATTAAACATAATTTTTATACAGAGCTAACAGACGGTATAATGCACTTTGCATTGTTAAACAGAAATATTTTGCCCTCTTGGAGTCCTCTTTATGTAGTTTTGTGCTACAAAAAACATCAAACAGTAATACAAAATATGGTAGCATCTTCAGTTTTAACAGCGACAACAAAGAGCCTCACAGCTGCGTTATAGCACGTCTTCATAAAGGTTAATCACGTCGAAGACAGTGTCCTTGGTGCTCCGGATATTTTTCCTACACAGAGTCTGCTATGTTGAACAAAAGATGACCAGTATTCATAAAGCTATCTCAAAACAGTACAACCAGACTTATTCATCAGTGATACCAGGGGTGTGACCAAAAACATATAGCTTCAAGAATGTATGACACTAATAGAAACTATTTTGGATTTTTTTAATTTTCAATGACCTATTATGCAAAATCCACTTGTTCCTGTCTTTTATACATAAACATGTGTCCCCTCGGTGTAAAGAGATTCTGAAAGTTTCAGGAACAAAGATTTGCTCACTTTTTGTCCTGATCCAGGAGTGGCTCCTTATGTTCATGTAAAGTAACAGAGAATCAGCACTTTTGAAACAGAGCTGAAACAGAGGGGATTATGGGATGCTACAATTATCTGTTTGGTATTTGGAGCCAAACACTTCAGAGACATGTTCTGTATATATCTGAGACCTGTAATATATTGATGAAAAACAGTACAATAGGGGACCTTTAAATAATTAAAGATTCTCTACTATACCTGATTCTTTAAACTCAAATAACCCACTGATTCCCATCCCACTGCTGATGACGTGCAATTTAGGGGATTTACATGTCCATCATCTCAATTAGCCTTTTAGCAGGTCTGTGTTACTGTTTCAGGCAGCATCCTGTAAGTAACAATAAGTAAGAAGATGCCCAATTCTCTACACCCCTGTGTTAAATACACAACCTCTGATATTTTAGCAATCGGTAGTCATGAATAGTGCAGTTAAACCCTTATATTAAGGCTTAAGACCGCTTTTTCAAGAAATACATACTCAAAATAGATATTTTTCTGGTGTAGAAGCTCTGTCCTCAAAGGTTTTATGAATACAGGTCTGGACTAGTATAAACTAACAGCAAAGCATCAGTAAAAACACATTTCATCCAGCCGGAGAGCGAGCTTCAGTTAACAGACTTCACTTGATAGTTAAGGCAATGTAAGTTCATAGAATTGTTCCTCTCAGATAAAAGAAGACAACATAAAGATTTGTATGTGCTGCAAAGTGTAACGGTACCAAGTAATTGGTTTGTACATACATAACTTAAACAATTCAATGTACATCAAACCACAACCCTTCATGACAGCAAAATGTGTCAACTTGCTATTCACAAATACATCTGAAAAGAAATGAACACACACATATTGTTTGAATTCAAAGTAATTACAGTACATAATTATCAAACCACATGACCAAATTCGGCCTTTAAAAAGAGACACAAATATAAAACTAAAGGGGAAACCAACCCTGAAACAGAATCCACAAGTTATTCTTAAAGCCTGGACAGTTTAACTGCTAAGTGCCTCACTGAAACTGCAGCCAAAGATGTCAGAGAAGTAGCAATATCCAAAGTGTGAAATGGTGTAATTGTTGTTTTCTTAAATTATTCTTAGCACATATTTAGCCTTGAAACAAAGATAAACAGTATTACTGAATGAGCCACTATCCTGAAGATACAGGATGTACAAGATATTAAAGGTGACACTCTGTTGTTACTGCATATTTCCAATGCCAGCAAATTGTGCGAATAGTTTTGAGAAATTGTTTGTCCTTACATGCTTTATGCAAAAATTACAGAACTGTTAAAGTGTTTAGTAAAAACTGTAGAGCATAAAAAACTACGACAAATAGAACTACAGCTGCGATCAAGCATTTCTGAAATTGTTGACTTATGTGAGGGAGACATTTCTATTGAAGAACACAAGTAAATCATATTTACTACATTTAATTACACTAAGCCCAACTTAGTGTCCTATAAGATGTTGGCATACCGTATGTAGTCTAATGCTGTTAGTGTTATTTCCGAAACTGTCCAGGAAAAGAAGAATACCATATGGTTTCTAAATCAGTGTCGATTTCCATTTTAAGACACTGAGAAGAGAGAGAGCCCCTTTGTCCCTCGGAGGGGGGTCAGAACACTGTGACCCGACTCCTGCTTTGCCACTGTAGCACTGGGAGTCAAAATGACTCAACGATATCACCCCTACCCAAACCCGCCCAATGTTAATGTCCCATCCTCAAAATACCTTAAGTTCACCACCAATCCAAAACGCAACCCCAAATCCAATCCAATCCTGACAGCAGCTACAGACCTGGGAAAATTAGCGTACCCCAAAGTGGATTTTATATATATATCTTAAACACTTAATTTTCCATAACCATTAGCAATATTATGACCAAACTGTCGGTTACCACAAAGTCTAAAATGTAGTGGTTTGGGTGAAACTGAAAAGTCCCTTCCATATAACCTGTAAGCGAAAGCCTGTATCGTTTACTAGACACTGATCATATACTAACAATTGATCGTTAACATGGCCTTATGTGAGATGTGCCGTGTTTCAATCAGGACAATCAGAGATTTAGTTGTTGGCAAGTAACCAATTTATTCCCAAATTGATCATTAGGTTTGGGTATCAGAAATGTTTTTGAAAAATGTACATACATTGATAAGAACCAGACTTTTCCAACTGATGAGCCCTACAATTTCACTGTCTAGAAAGCAAACTTTGGTTTATTTATAAAAATAAACTTCAGTCAACATCGCAAATGATGACTGCTTCAATGTTTACATACAGTGCTTACAGTATGGCGGGTCAGAGGTTGTCCTAAAAAGTGTGACTGTGTGAAATTGAAATGGTTAATTCTGAACCCTGTATACCTAGGATACAGGCTTTTTGACCTTTCATGTGTTGTCCCACCACAAACAGGCAAGAAAAAGGAGAAGGAAACCCAGGTCAGGCTTGTCCCAACCAATTTCATCCAGCCGGATACCCCACATTTCTGTCTTTTTTTGCTGTTTTTCCAGGAAACTCTTTCACCAGTCTGTGCCCTTAACCCTAATTATCCCACACCCCATAGGTTATCATACAAAGTCCAGAATCACAAAAACTCTACTTGTTGGACGGGGTTTCGACAGGCTATTTAGCTTCAGTACCGCTGAGAAATGTTGCTCAAACAAGAAATAACATTCATGAGTTCCATATACACAGTTTAGGAAACATTGTTCAATAGTGGCTTGTAGCATATACTTCTATTACAATAAACCTTCTGTCTACTGGCTGTATGATCACATTATACTTTGTAAGCCCTTCTAATTTCTTAAAAGGGCTCAGCAGCATTTTAAAATTAAGCATACCCTTTTTTAGAGAATCGTCACAATAGGGACCCCATAATGGGATCAGCGTCGTACACAGGGCATTTAAAGTTATTTTGTCTGAAACATCAACTGATGAAAATATAATAAACTGTAGTGAAGTGGGTATTACATATTTCACATTTCATGAAAGCTTTATTCTCCCTAGGCAGGTGTTCAGTCTGTGGTGGTTTCAGAGATCTTGGTATCTGCACTCCTTTTAATCCTGTGCTGCTTTCATTGTCTCTCCAAATGTCTAGCCCCAACACCTACCTTCTCATAATACAAGTACTGAGTCAGATATCTTTCTAGAGATGCAGCAACTGGGTACCAGCCTCAGTTGAAAGATTCAATCACTTTCAAACACCCCTTTTGTGTTTAAGTCCACCTAAAGATAGTTTGATTCTTACATTCCAAAAATGACTTACCGCTTCAGTGGAGTTAGGGCCATATTCATTCCAAAATCCAGGAATCAAAATTGTTTGAGCTATTTAACCCTAACCCCATGTCAGGCACCGTCGCCTACACAGACGTCCATCACGCATTCTACGAAAGCTTTCAATGTAGCCCATTTCCCTCTCCCTAATACTATATGTATTATATGTTTGGCATCACCATCCATATTCCTAAATCCTTTTCCTTTCGACCCCTTCCTCCTCATCTCCTTCCCCCCCACCCCAGGCCAGTCTTCTAGTTGGGGGGCGGGGGGGCTCGTGCCGCTAGAGAGCTGTAATCTGGGTCAATTCTGTGTTGGAGTTCCCTGTCCCGTGGTTCTCTCTCCTTTGTTGGGGGTCCACCCCCACCAAGGGAAGCTCCACGCCTAGTCATGCGGGATTAGATGTCCCTCCACCGTGCCCACTACCATCAGCTTTGCAACTGTAGGCCGCCGCCACCTCCCTGGCGATGCTCCTCATCCGGCCCGACTGCTGGGTGTCCAGGCGGAAGGGCGACGGGTTGCAGAACTCACGGAAGCAGCGTTTGAAGTTCTCATCCAGGAAGGCATAGAGCACAGGATTCAAGCTGCTGTTGACGTAGCCCAGCGCGATGCAGAAGTGCATCAGCACCAGCGTGAACAGGCTGCTCAGGTTGAAGCCCAGAGTCTGAGCCAGGACCATGATCTGGACTGGGGTCCAGCAGACCACAAATGCCGCCACCACCACCAGCACCATCCTGGTGATGCGCCGCAGGTTGCGATCCTTCTCCTTGGAGCCGGACAGGATGCGGACGTTGCGCAGGCGCTTAACCATCAGACTGTAGCAGATGCTGATGATAGCCACAGGGATGAGGAAGGAGAAGAGGAAAACGCAGGTGCCGAAGACAGGATCCCAGTGACTCTTTGGTTCAGGCAAAACCACGATGCACTCAATGGCTAGATAAAAGAGATAAAAGAAAACATAATATAATTGGTAAGTCAGGCCTAGTAGCAACAAGGTAGGGTTAGGCTGTATTTGGCCTAAGGCAGCATAAAGAGTGGAAGCAGAGGCAATGATGTGTCAATCATATGAGCAGTTACACAAGCTTTCATTAACTACAATGCTTCCTCAAAGCTCTGGTGACTCATGGATGCACTGGGGATCTAGTTTATTAGAAGCTGAATGGTCTAATTTCTTGCTTTAACTTCTTACTTCCAGTCTGTGGGATAAGCTAGGCTAAACCAGTCTGATTGCACAAAGCGGATATTCATATCAATCTTCTAATCTTACCGAAGCGGAATTTTAATAACTAAACCTTTGTTTACATATTACGCAATTAAACCTCGGTTTATTGTTACGGAGAACAATGTGGATGAATATTTGAATAACAATTCTTCATTTATTATGCAAATTGCTCATGCACATTTAGCAGTGCTACTAATAATAGCAGGCAGGCACAGATAATTGAGGAAAATACAACATGTATGCATCTAGAGTAGGATGTGGTGACAGAGGTAAAAATGGAAACAGAAGTGGAGCAGAATAAATAAAAAAGGTGAGAGAAGGAAGACAGAAATACAAATGTGTACCGTAGAGAGATAACAAGAAGCACATCAAATAAAATAAAGATTCATAAGAGTTTAGTTTTCAGATTACAGTATGCAGTGAAAGGTAAAATACATATTCTTTGAACAATAATGTTATAAGGCCATAACAGCAAAAGATCGAGTCATTTAACATTTTAAAACAAGTAATTGTGAAAGAAGTGACAAAGATATTAGGGTAAAACTGACATGTGAACACAGTCATTTGAACTACTGTACATATTGTTACTGTTTTAATGTTACCTCACCCGTTTCGAAGTGACTGTTTGAAAACCTTTTTTAAAGTAATATGTAAGTTTACTGTTTAAGTGTTTACTGTTTTGTTTTAATGTTACCTCACCCGTTTGACAAACCTTTTGAAAATTTGACCGCGAACACCAAAGTAAGGGGGGTAATACGAAGACAATAGGAGGGTTAATACTTTCTTGCTATGTCAGCCTAGTTAAACAAAAGCAGACAGCCTGGTGAAGCACAGAGGGATGAAAAGAAAGAAAAAACATGCTCTACATTATAATTTTTTGACAATCCATTTTTCAGAGAATCAACAAAAGGTCTAAACAGCCATTAGATTTTTTTGCCATTAGACAAATATCATGTTTAGCACGTTTTATGTAGTGAGCAGAGATTTAAGTATTTATTTCAAAGCCAGATGCTGTTTGTAAGGCCAGGCTTAAAGGTGTGGCAGAAGAACCCTTCAACCACTCTCTGTGTGCCTTCTTCAGACTGATTATAATATTTCCTCTGCACTAACAACTATGCTTTTTATTAATTAGTGAAGTTTTAAAAAGCCTCAAGAACTTTAAATACGTTCAACCTAAAACATTACTATTATGCAAAGTATATGTTTAGCAGTGATAGTTTTCATATTTCTGAAGCATTATGCTATAAATCAAGCGGTTTGTTTTGCTGATTTTTCTTATTTCCACTTAAGTCACAAGAAGCTTATCATACTTATGATGTAGTGTTTGTGGCTATAAAAGAAACATAATCGAGTGTCTTTGAATTAAATCCTTATACTGTGTTTGCAAAGGGACGATAAGGCAAGAAGTACAAACAAAATAAACAGACACACACACTGCATAAATAGCTGAGATAAAGCAAAATCAAACACATATAAATTGTAACTGTTAAAACAAACGGTTGATATTGTTCCATTTGGGGGATGCACCTCGCAAGGCAATGAGTGTGTGTGATTTATCGTGTGTGTGTACCCTGTATAAATGGAAGCTGTACCCGCGGCTCCATTACTGCCGTGATCAAGCCGTTGATAAAAAACACAGCCCTGGTGAAAGGACAGGAACAGTTCTTACCGGCCTGATAGGGCTGGGAAGTGTACGTGTTTTATAAGAATGGCTCTCTGGCGGAAATGAAGGTCTTAAACCTAATGTCAACAACACCTACGTATATAATTAGAGATGTCCCGATCCGATCACGTGATCGGGGATCGGAGCCGATCACGTGATTTTCAAAAGATCGGAATCGGGTGAAAAAAATCGGGGATCGGGATTTATTTTTATTTATAATTTATTCAATGTTACAAAACAAAAATGACCATGTTCAAGTCTTAAAGTCATCCTGAGGCCTTAGTTTTGGTTTCGAATTACACAACATCATGTATGTGTTGCTTCTTTGGGGCTTGTTCTCATAGACCTGGTTGTTTATTTCTCTCAAATCTGGCAACAGAGTGGGCAGGGCGCAGTGTCTAATTGTAGCAGTAAGCTAACGAGTACTGATAAGCTTTATTTTGTTTTGATCCAATGCTGCACAACTGAACTGATCCAATGCTGCTGTGAAAGAAAGAAGCTATATCCATGTTGGATAGAATATCCAATTTAAATAAAAAAATAACCTTAAGAGACAACTTGAATGCTTTTTTTCTTTTTTTTTCTCTTAATGCATTGCATAAAGATCGGATCGGGAAAAATCGGTATCGGCAAATTGTCAAAATCAAATGATCGGAATCGGATCGGGAGCAAAAAAAGGTGATCGGGACATCCCTAGCAGTAACATGTTCAGTTTGGACTAGAGACAAATCTAAATTGTGTCCAAACATCTCTGGATTAAATGTGTTAAATAAGGTCTGCCATTAAAGGATTACTTTCATTATCTGTAACTGTCATACTTTCATATCCAAGCTGAGGTCTTTATTGTGTAGGAAGCTCTGAAGGAACTGTTTGTGGATAACCAGTGTTCAAATGTGAACTATGTTCCCACGAACTGACTCAGTGGCATCCTCTGTCTCATCATAAAGAGTCTCTCACTTTCAGTGTGAGACTGCCAAGGCACACNAAACTCTCAATATACTCTATATAGTATTATCTTGGACCCTCAAGTAATCACAAATTATTGGTTTTGGCTAGACTAGTTTGACAGAAACAGTTTTCATTGACAAAAAGTAGACTAAAATTATTAGTTTTCAATGAAAACTGTTTCTGTCAAACTAGTCTAGCCAAAACCAATAATTTGTGATTACTTGAGGGTCCAAGATAATACTATATAGAGTATATTGAGAGTTTTTAAGATTTGTAGGATTTTTTATTGCACGCTCTAATAGCCTTAAATAAGGTCTATGGTTAACACAAGCTTAAGAGATTTTCATGGTAAAAAATAATTGCTAATCAGTGACTAAAGGAGACTATACTCTAGTCATCACGCCAAACATTAGCCACCTTAGCTTAGCAGTTGCACAAGTAGCTTGTTTTTAGCATTGCATTAGCTTTTTGTTTCTGCCGATTGCATGTTCCCATCAAAAGTAGTAGTGTGTTAATATGTAGAGATAATCTTGCTGAGATGAACAACTAAAAGTATCTCAAATGTGTGTTAGGGACTAAGCTTATTTTCTGCCATATTCCGAAATGTAACGGAAAAAATCCCATTGCATTTTGTCGAGTGAGCCCTTGCTAAGCTAACTTCAAAGGCGGTCCACAAAAAGACATAATCACTGCACCACTCTATTGTCTTTAGTATTAAGTTAAAGCACCTTTTGTACAAAGCTAATTGTCTCCCACTCTATTGTTTGATCGAGCAGTGTCTTGATTGCTTGAGGGTCCAAGATAATACTTGGCACCTTGGAATATTCACAGAGTGTTTTAAGATTTGGAGGATTTTTAATTGCACACTAATAGTCATCGCTAATATTCAGCAGTCTCTTTAATAGAGAATAGCTGTATATATATCTTTGCAAAGTGAGAGCTGCAGTGAAGGCGAGGACAGATAGACGGTATTTAAAACTACAAAGTGTTCTCTCGGTTGTCAAAGGTGTTTTGTGTTCCTCAGCGTGAAGCTTTTATTCAAAGGCTGGCCAAGTCTTTCTTTTCTTTGAGGTTTTTTAATGCTCTCCAGACTCCACATTAGAGGGTTTGCATGGTTTTGTTCAAATATATATTTCGTCAATATTATTCAGGGATAAAGTAAAAAGTATTATTATTCATTCTGCTGCAGATTTGCTCCCATCATGTCCGGAGTGTTACCATTTATTTTTGTATTCTACATTCCCAGCAGAGCGCTTAACACGAGAAAAACACCAACATGACAAGTTGGTTACATCTGTTCCATGTGGGCTCAGCAGCTGGTGCTGTTAATATTCTGTCGGGTTCTCCATCTTCTGATTTATGAATGAAAACAGAACAGAAACCAGTGTGGGTCCAAGCAGATTTTTAGTGGATAAGTCTTGTGATTTCCAATGTTATTATTTTGCGTCATATACAGCGTCCGGCTGCTGTAAATACTCTCTCGAGCACCAAATCTGCACCTGAAGAAACTCACATGGGGCCGGCTGTTATAAGAACATTTGTTGCATTTTCCACACACTTGGTCGGAGGTATTATATTTTCCGGTTTTCCGGCCATATCTTAGTAATGCCTTCAATCAATTTGGATCAAACGTCCCTTTGGATTTAAAGGTGGGGTAGGTACTTTTGGAGAAACCAGCTCGAGTGCGCTAGAATTTGAAGAAATCTACCACTTCCTTACAGAGCCCCTCCTCCAACACACACGAACGCGCACATGACCAATGAGGGCACGAGATAAGTTTGTGCACAGATGGAAGGCTGACAGGCAGGTAGGCCATCCAGTTATTTTAGCCGGGCCGGCTCAGATGATTGGTCGTGCTTTTTACAGCGCTACGGCTTCCACAGATGAGATTTTTTTATGGATTTATTGTCAAAGCATTTAATATATTCATTGCTATCAGGATGTTAAGAGCATTCCATGGAATATAACAAAGTGTTTCTGAAGTGAATTACATACCCCACCTTTAAGGATAAACGTACAATGGTTTGGTAGACGGCCTCATGAACGTGTCCTCATTGGCCACAACTCCCTCAAAATGTGACAAGTTCAAACAAATGTCTAATAGGAGAAAATGCTTACATATTGACACTTTGGACGGAAATAGATGCAAACTGCAACTTCACCATACAATTCATCTATGCCTTTATCTGTATGAAAAAAAAAATAATTCTTAAACAAGTTAATGAGTTTTCATTGCCATAACCCATAAGGCTTCACATTTAGTTGAAATGTCATCGATTTTATGGCAAAATGACATGAATTGTAAAACAAGAATGAAACACGCCATGATCATTTCAATGCATTTTCATTAAGGTTGAGAAAGATGATTTAAAAAAACTATTTATCCATCCTAAATCGTAATCGCAGTAATTGTCAAAAATGTGTTATTTTTTCCAACTTGTGCAACTGCAGAAGATTTAACAAATGCTTTCGTTTAATTAAAGTCACCTCAGAGTATCAATATACAATTTTACTTGTGTTAAAATAACTTGCATGTCTTCAGTTTATGACGTTAACCAACACTGTAACAAAGCCGCACGTTATCACACAAAATCTCAAGGGGTTTTTCCAATCTTTACAGTATACGGCACCCTTTATCCTTAAACCTTATTAACCTTTTGACTTCAGTCTAACCATCTGGCCCTTAAGCCTCCCTTAATCCTTCCCAGCTATACTGGTGGAGATTGTGTATACAGTCTGACGGTTATTCTTGCACACTGCTGCTATTTGTCCACAGTAATGAACCTGTGAAATTAGAGTTCAGGAGTTATCAGATGTTTCCTCCCCAGGTGTCCATCCCATCACAGTATCCACACGTCACTCAAACACCATATTTCTGTTTGAGGAAGTCTGAGAAAAGGAGTTGATACTAGGGATGGGAACGATTTAAAGGTGGGGTAGTTCTAGAAACCGG